TCCTTGCTTCTAAGGAGCATTCTGGCTGTACTTCTTCCAAGATAGATTTGTCATTCTTCTGGCAGTCCATGGTTTAGTTAGTATTCTTCGCCAATATCTCATATAGCATGTATATGTTGAGTATCTCCTTTGCCAGCTTTAAAACTGCACCTGTAAGTTCATTCTAAAGACAAACACTTCATGAGATGAAAGTGACTTCTGTGCCTTCTAGTGAATGTTGTTTGGATTTTATTCAGATTTTTGTTAAAATTGTTTTGTTGAATTTTATTTTTATGACTTACTCTATTTAGATGCATTTTTTAACTGTCAAAAACATTTTTCTATTATTACTGACCTCAGGAATTTTAGTTTAAGTGCGAGATCTCCTCTTAATGACCCAGCCAGCTCCCAGTGGAGCTGGTGCTCAAGAAGTATTTGGGGGAGAGAATGAGTGATGAGGTGGTTTAATCCTGCAGTGGTAAAATGTTGTTCCTTGAAAGAAAATGGCTCATTTATTTTTAATAAAATATTTTAACCCAAACATGAGGAAAGATTTGATGCCATTCTTTGTGTCCTGCCCCTGGCCAGTTGCTATGGAAGTTGAGAAAAATGAAAGTCTTATCTTTTAAAGCCTTATAGTCTGATGAGAGCCAAAATGTATAGACATTGTTCCTGGTTATTTCATATACAACAACATCTCATCAAATGCTAGTCTGCATAGTATATATGGTATTATGATAGGTTTAGACCAGGGTTTCTCAACCTTGGCACTGTTGACATGTGACTTCATACTGGCCAGGCAATTCTTTGTTATGGGGGCTGTCCTGTGCATTGTAGGGTATTTACCAGGATCACTGGCCTCTACCCACTAGATGCCAGGAGCACCCCCTTACCCCAGTGTGACAAACAAACCGTGTCTGTAGACATTTCACATGTCCCCTAGGGGCAGAGTCGCCCTGACTGAGAACCTCTGAGATACACGGAGAGTCCAGAGACTTGGGTGGAGGCCTGGCTCAGCCACTGAATGGCTGTTGGACACAGGGCCAGCAAGTCACCTGGCCTTTCTCAGCCTTGGTCACCCTTCTGAAAAACAAAGGGGTGGAATGAGATGACTGCTACGGTTCCTCCAGCGTTAGTGCTTTATCATAAACGTTTGCCTTGATCTGGATGCTGTCTTTAGCCTAAAGAAGTGGTCAGGCATTCATTTCCTCCTTTGCCATCACCAACGGTCTTGACAATCCTACTCCTTTCCTCCCGTCACTTCCAGGTTTGCCCGACTTGCTGCAACCACGTTTATCAGTCAGGGGGTTCCTGTCTACCTCTTTTCTAATATCACCCCAACCCCCTTTGTGGTGAGTAACCATTTCCTTTTCTCATTTCCTATCACGAGATGGCAGATGGGACATGGCTGAGTTTCACAGTATTTAGTGCTGTTGAGTATTTGAATGACAGAAGAGCTCCTTGGCATTTAGCAGTCATTCTCTTTTCTATCCAGAAGCATTGCTCCCACATCCTAGTAATATTTCTCTGGTATTCAACTATTGATTCATCAGAACTTACTTTTTTAAAAGTGCAGTGTTTTTATCCTTGCGTTCTAGAGATAGTTTAGCTAGCTAGCAAAATAGGGGTCCTGGTGGTACAGTGGTTAAGCGCTCAGCTGCTAACTGAAGGCTGGCAGTTCAAACTCACCAGCTGCTTCACGGGAGAAAGATGTGGCAGTCTGCTTCTATAAAGATTACAGCCTTGGAAACACTATGGGGCAGTTCTGCTCTGTCCTGTAGGGTTGCTATGAGTCGGAATTGACTCGATGACAGTGGGTTTTGGTAGCAAAATGGGTTTATTGTTTGTTTTTTAGTTTGTTAAAGATTTGGTTTATAGTTCTTTTTCCCAACTATCCCAATTAGGAAACCTCTTGGGTCTAAATCTAAAATCGACTGAAACCCTGTCCTGTCATGAGTATTTTTGACAAGTTGGTGCAACAGCTTTTTATACAAATCTTTCATTCTAAATACTAATCATGGACAGCACAGAAAGCTTGCTTGGTGTATTTGAGCAAGACTTTTATCAAATCCTTCTAGTAGCAGGGTCTGTTGACTGTGACAGTAACGACAATAAGGACTGTGACAGCTGTTGCTTTAAGTAGACAGAACTTTTAAGAGCAGGGCCAGATGCTGAGAATATATGTTTTTAGAAACTAAGCCAAAAACATAATTCGGATGCAGTTACTTACATCAAATGTAAACGAGGCCATATAAATAGAGGAGAAGTAAGTTTTGGTAGTTTTGTGTTTTCTGTGTTCAGTGCAACGCCAGGTATCTGCAGCACCTCCTAGACTGGAAATAATCCAAATCTAGTTCAAGTTTCATTGTTTGATGGGAAAACTGTAGTTTCTTTAGGCATCCTAATTGCGTTCTGTATATATGTGTTAATAGCTGTTGTTTTTATATCAGACATGAATTAAATTAGTGTCTCATGATCATTTTCTCACACCGTAGAGTGATTCTCCCCTTTGCTTTGCCCCAACATACCTGAGGGATGTGACATACTCCTAGGAGGGCAAATGATTGCAGTGATTCTTGGTGGGAGGATGGAGGGGGACAGATGGTTAAAATCTCAGGTTGCCTGCATGTAGTAAATCTAATATGCATCCATAGGGGAATATGCCTGCCTCTCCCCATTCTGGAAAATACTCTTGTAAAAATGGGATTTAAGTAGAAATATACCAGTTGCTGTTGAGACTCATGTGTTTCAGAGCAGAACTATGTCCATAGGGTTTTCAATGGCTGGTTTTTTTGCAAGTAGATTGCCAGGTCTTTCTTCCCAAGCACCTCTAACCCTCCATCCTTTAGGTTAGCAGCCAAGCATTTCAAATATTTGCATCACCCAGGGACTCCAAGTAGAAATATAAGGGAGGGGTATTTAACCCTGTAGAGAGAGAGAGATGAGCAGACTGTGAAATCACTTTCTGTTTCCTCAACTTTTTCCTTAAAAGCAAGTGTGGGGGGGGGAAAGAGGAGAAGGGTAAGCAGTTGGAGGAAATAAAGTGGATCCATAAATTTCTGTCCCCAACAGGAGGCTAAAAGAATGTTTGAAGACATTCCTAGCTCTGCCAAGTAGAAGATGGAATGAGAAGGCACCTAGAAGAATATTCACCTCTCTTATTAGGGTACACAGCCAGGAATTTTGAGGAACTAGCTTGTTCCAGGGAAAATAGGAGTCTACTGCTTGGGTGTGGCACAGAAATATTAAATGGACACGTTATGATTTTATATATTGTGTTTATTAAAAAGGAATAACTTGGTACAAACAAATATGATAGATATTTTAAATATATCTAATTTTTTGTTAAAACTCTTATATTACAGCCATACACAGTATCACACTTGAAACTTTGTGCTGGAATCATGATAACTGCCTCACATAATCCGAAGCAGGATAATGGTTATAAGGTATTTTTGTTTTTTTTCCAGACCTATTTCCTTCTGTTTAAATCTTATACTTGTACTGTTTGAGAGCATAGGTAACTAGTGCATTATTTTCCTTAACCCTAAGCCCTAAACCTTTTGTGATATGTTACTATATCCTCTAGGTCTATTGGGATAATGGAGCTCAGATCATCTCTCCTCATGATAAAGGAATTTCTCAAGCTATTGAAGAAAATCTGGAGCCATGGCCCAAAGCTTGGGATGATTCTTTAATAGATGGCAATTTGCTTCTTCATAACCCAAGTGTTTCCATCAATAAAGACTACTTTGAAGACCTTAAAAAATACTGTTTTCACAGGTAAGATAAATGAATTGTGTCTTCACTGACCTTAAGTGAATTAAATTATTCAGTCAAATTCTGTCAGTTTTCATTAAATTTTTCTTTTTAATTGTACATATTAGGTTTAATTGTACACTGCATTAGGTTTTAGAGGTATTGGTCAGGGATCAGCAAACTTTTCATTAAAGGGCCAGATAGTAAATATTTTTGGCTTTGCAAGCCGTATAGACTCTGTTGCAGCTATCCAGCTCTGCTGTGGTAGCATGAAAGCAACCAGAGACAGTACATAAATGAAGGGGTGTGAGCATGGCTGCGTTCAGAAAAACTTTATCTGTAAAAACAGGTGGCCATCTCATGGAGTCACTGACCCCCACTGTAGGTTCGTGTGTGTGTGTGTGTGTGTGTGTGTGTGTGTGTGTGTGTGTGTGTGAGTGAGTGTGTGCACATATGTATATGAAAAGAAACCTTGCTGAAAGTGGCTGGATATTAAACACTGACATTTTTCTTACACGTCTTTCCAGAAGGTTTCTGTGTATAGGTAAGCATATATATGTGTAATATATTACAAAAACATAAATATAGCTTGTTCTATGCATATAGTTTTTGTATATAAAGTTTGTTCTATGCCTTTTTCCTCTAATTAATTTGTCCTGGGTACCTTTCTGTGTTGGCCCCTGTGTTTATTTCTTAGCGCTGCTGTAACAGAAGTACCACAAGTGGTAGTATTATTTTCTAAAAATGATTTAGAAAAAGATAGCAAAAATGGGCGTACAACTTAAAGAATGTAATCAATGTCACTGAATTGTACGTTAGAAATTGTTGAGATGACTTATGTTTTGTTGTATATGTTTTCACTACAATTAAAAGAAATACCACAAGTAGTTGGCTTTAAAGAACAGAAATTTATTTTCCCAAAGTTTAGGAGGCTAGAAGTCCAAATTCGGGACACCATCTCTAGGGGAAGTCTCCTTGTCTCAGCTTCTGTAACCCTGAGGTTCCTTGGTTCCTTGGTGATCTTCACACTGCTCCTGTCTTCCCAGTTTGTGCTTGCTTGTCCCTGTGTCTATGCTGCTCCTTTCAACTCTGAAGTGATTTGGTTTAGGACAAATTCTACACTGGTATGACAAAGAAAGCCCCATTCCCAAACTGGATTACATCCACATTTATAGGGGTTAAGTTTCCAGTATTTTAGGGGGGCACAATTCAGTCCACAGCAGCATCTATTAGACCTGACTCCTCCTTTCTAATGGCTGCTGCTCCCATTTATTTAACCCAGTGACACAGACTTGGTAGATACATGTGACAGGTAAGAAGCAGACCAGCTTAGTGACAGTGTTGTCCTTTTCTAGTATGCTGCAGGTCCCAATACTCCTGATTGTCCCCTTAGCAAGAACTACTGATTTTAAAGAAATAAAATCTCTAGACTTTCTCTAATACTGTATTTGTTGGACCACCTGGAAGCTGTGGTTCCTGTATAGACTGCAGAACCTAAATCTCACCCAAAGGAAGCAGCCATACTTAGCTCTAGCTGAGTGGTACAGTGGGCAGATGGGGGTCTGGAGTTGCCAAGTCATCTTACTTTTTTTCCTTCCAAGAGAAGCTGGAACCTGGGACCGGCTTTTTAAAATGATAAGTAATCTAAACAAAACACATCTTGAGCCTTCCCTCTACCCTTCTGATTTAATCTCACAAAGACCTAGGGGGTTTCCAGTTCTCGGCTACTCCAAGCAGCCCTCAAGTAAACATCCCTGTGAGCAATCCTTGAGTACTTGTGTGTATATATCCACAGGGTAAGTTTCTGGCAGCAAAATTGTATATGCATTTACAAAGGTGATAGCAGTTAACAAAGTGCTCTCAAAAAATGTTACACCAGTTGATGCTCCCACCAACAGAATACGGAACAGTATATGATCTAAAATTTCCACTTTTTTTTCTGAGAACTTTCATGTTATATTTCATAATGCTTAAATCTTTTGAGTTATTGGTGAGTTTTAATTTTGTATGAGGCGTGAAATAGGAAACCAGATTAGTTTTTTTTTTTTTCCCTCAAAAGGCTTGCAGTTGTAGCAATACCTTAAACTGAATAATCTCTCTTTTTTTGACTGACTGGAAATGCCACCTATATCAAACAGTTCCTAACACTGAGTGCTTATATGGCAGATAACTTGCTGTGGGCCCTTGTTATGGATTGAATTGTGTCCCCCCGCAACAAAATGTGTGTCACCTTGGCTAGGCCATGATTCCCAGTATTGTGTGATTGTCCCCCATTTTGTCATCTGATGTGATTTACCTATGTGTTGTAAACCCTACCTCTATGATATTAATGAGGCAAGATTAAAGGCAGTTATGTTAATGAGGCAGGACTCAGTCTGCAAGATTACATTGTATCTTGAGTCAATCTTTTTTGAGATATAAAAGAGAGAAGCCAGCAGAGAGACGGGGACCTCATACCACCAAGAAAGCAGCACCGGGAGCAGAGCATGTCTTTTGGACCTAGTACCCTTATGCAGAGAAGCTCCTAGACCAGGGGAAGATTGATGACAAGGACCTTCCTCCCAGAACCAACAGGGAGAGAAAGACTTCACCTAGAGCTGGCAACCTGAATTTGGACTTCTAGCCTCCTAAACTGAGAGAATAAATTTCTCTTTGTTAAAGCCATCCACTTGTGGTATGTCTGTTATAGCAGCACTAGATAACTCAGCCCTTCACATGCAATAACTAATTTAATCTTATTTTACTATTCACCTTAATGCTGAGGATAGGTGTTGGTGTATTACCAGTTTATAGATTAAAACACTGAGACACAGAGAGATTAAGTAACTAGCCAGTGGTCACACAGCTAGTGAGTGGTGGGTCCCCAGGACTCAATTTCAGACAGTCTGTCTTCAGCACATGTAAACCACTAAGTTTTGTGTTTCTCATACACATTTTCCATTTGAAATGGGATCTGCTTCTAGACTCTCTATTCTGTCCCTTTAACCTGCCTTTTTATATCTAGTACCAAACCGTTTTACTTAGTGTAGCTTTGTAATACATTTTAATATCTAAGAGATTTTTTTCAGAGTTGGCCTCACTAGCGTGTTTATTTTTCCAGGTGTATTTTATTTTCAAGGGTATTACTTATTGGAAACCATTTTTCTCTTAAAGAAAAGCTTGTTCATTTATTTGTTTCCAAAAGAAATGAAAAATAACCTAAACTTCTAGCAGTCAGAGCATTGGAATTTTTTTAAAGCCTTATGTTTACCTTTGTATAACTTCTGTTGAATTTTGATGTTTATTGCTATACTATACTAGGTACCTGTGGGGACATTGGAGGTTCAGTAGTAGAATTCTTACCTTCCATGCGGTAGACATGGGTTTGATTCCCAGCCAATGCACCTCATACCCAGCCACCACCTAGCTGTCAGTGGAGGCTTGTATGTTGCTATGATGCTAAACAGGTTTCAGCAGAGCTTACAGACAAAGATGGACTAGGAAGAAAGGCCTGGCTATCTATTTCCAAAACTCAGCCAATGAAAACCCTGTATGTCACAACACAGCAGTCCTATTCTCAGGCGATCATGGGGATGGTATGGGACTGGGCAGCATTTTGTTCCAGTGTGCATAAAAGAAAACTTACCCACTCTCTCTCCCAAATATACACATATACCCCCAATGCATGAGTTTTAAACTTTATATACTTATTTTCAATAATTTGATTGCTTTCATATTTTGTTTAGTGGTAGAGCTTTTATATCTAGGATGGCTGACTCAGTGGCAGCCAACAGCAATATTAAGTACCTAAAACATGACACTTGGCCAAGCTGGACTGTTACTTGACAAAGAAAATGTTTTGTTTTTTATACATCCATCAGAATTGACTGGATGCAATGGGTTTGGGTTTTTTTGTTTTTGTTTTTTTTAATGTGTGGGATATTCTATCATATTTTGTTAAAAGGGACATTTTGAAAATCATCTTTGAAGCTGGTAAAAAGTACCTGGAACCCTGGAGCTGGCCTTGCCATGGGGTAGGCATGCGTTGAGACCATGGTGAGTCTTGTCCTGGAATCTGAGCCCTAGGTTTCTTTCTTTTATCCCACTCCAGATGTGAAAGCTCTACCATGAATCAAAATTGAACACAATCAGATTTACTGAAAATAACTAAAGTTTAAAATTAATATGTTGAAGGAGTGTGTGTATCTGTCTGGGGGTAGTAGATAAGCTTTATTTCATTTTCTTTTAACAGAAAGATATTCAGCTGTCTTGGACATTCTTATTACACTGATTTCTTACTTTCTTAAGAATCAGTTCCTTGATATTTTGCAAACGTTCCAGTTTTGAGAGCCAACTTACTATTCATCGTTTCCCATGGTGTGTCTGATTCTAGGAGTGTGAACAGGGAGACCAAGGTGAAGTTCGTGCACACCTCCGTGCACGGCGTGGCTCACGACTTTGTGCAGTCAGCTTTCAGAGCCTTTGACTTGGCTCCCCCCGTGGCTGTTCCTGAGCAGAAAGATCCTGATCCTGAGTTTCCAACAGTGAAATACCCGAACCCCGAAGAGGGAAAAGGCGTCTTGGTAACCTTATTTTTCCTTTACTGCAAAATCTATCTTTTATATTCATAACTATTACTATCCAGTAAAAGATGTTTTCAAGTGTTTGTAGTGTGCTGATGAAAAAATAATTTCATCATTGGAAATATTTATATTTATCAGTTGCTGATTTCTTAAAGGAACCTTTAAATTAGATGCTAATATCAGGGTATGGGAGTCTCTGGGTGGTGAAAATGGGTAAGCACTCAACTACTCGCCAAAAGTTTGACAAGTTGAACCTACCCAGAGGCACCTTGGAAGACAGGCCTGGTGATCTTCTTCCGAAAGGTCACAGCTTAAAAACTCTAAGGAGCAGTTCTGCTGTGCACACATGGGGTCACCATGAGTCAGAATCCCCTCAATGACAGCTGGTTTGTTTGTTTTTTAATCAGGATGTGAGAGCTGAAATCTAAATGTTGATTTAAATCTAATGTATTTAATTTAGTTTTAATTGCTGTGCTCCCTTAATGCCAAAAAGAGACAGTAATAGAATGTAGATTTATCACATTATAGTTTTTATCCCTAAATTTTCATTTCTCTGATACGAAGTATTTTTTTAGATTATGGTTCCCAGAACCTTTTCAATCTCAGTGAAATTCAAAGAGTCGTTTTGGTTTGTTTGTGAGGTTGATCACATGGTGAAAGCCTGGAAATACCAGTCCAGCCACACACACTATCAGATGGAGTGAATCCCACAGGCAGGTGTGGATCCCATCATCTGACCCCTGACTTAGGAAGATCATATGTGGCCAACCAAGACCAGCTCCAGAAATAAAATTCAGCCTTAGTTTAGGGAAGTCTTTGTATTAGTTTTCTAGGGCTGTTGTAACAAAATACCACAAAGTAGGTGGCTTTAAACAAAAGAAATACATTGTGTCACAGTATGCAGGCTGGGATTCCAGATCAGGGTGTCAGCCCTGTTGATTCCTTCTGAAGCTTTAAGGGAGAATCTGTTTCCTGCCTCTTTTCTAGCTACTGGTAGCTCCAGGTGTTCCTTAGCCTATCGGTGCATCTTCACCTAGCTGTCCTTCCTCTGTCTCTCTGTGTCTCTTCTCCTTTTTCATGAGGACATCACTCATATTGGATTAGGACCCCCCGCCCCCCAGAATGACTTAACTGATAAATGATGTTAATTGATAACATCTTCAAAGACTCTATTTCTAAGCAAGGTCACATTCACAGGTAGTGGGCTTAAAACTGCAACATATCTTTTTGGGGGACATAATTCAGTCCATAACAGTCTTCTGTTAGTTCTTAAAAACTGAAAATTTTTAAAGATTACAAGATGCTCAATTCTTGATTTAAGTAATTTTTAGTTTCAAACTATTTTTCAGACTTTATCTTTTGGTTTGGCTGACAAAACCAAGGCCCAAATTGTTTTGGCAAATGACCCAGATGCTGATAGACTTGCTGTGGCGGAAAAGCAAGACAGGTAAAATTAATTGTGATAACCTATGTGATAAAAATTACAGAGCATTACATCTTCAAAAGAAAAATGGTCCTGGGGAGGCTGGACCTATTTGGAAGTATTTCCCATTTATTTTGCAGTTGATCATCTCACTGAACCTTCTGTCAAGTCCTCTAACGGAGCAAGATGCTGATCTGTGGGGGTCTTATGATTGGCAAACATAATGTAGAGTAAATCAACCCACTATTTATATCATTATTTTATAATTGACTTTATTAGTAAATGGGCAAGGAACCCTGGTGGGACAACAGTTAAACACTCGGCTGCTAACCGAAAGGTTGACAGTTTGAACCCCCTCCACCCGCCACCCAGTGGCTCCAGGGAGAAAGACCTGGCAATCTGCTCCCATAAAGATTACAACCCAGAAAACCCTGTGGGGCAGTTCTACTCTGTCACCTGGGATTACTGAGTCAAAATCAACTTGATGGTGCCTAACAGCAACAACGATAACAATAATGACTCAGTACTGAATGAGGGAAAGTACTTTGCTTAGTGCTGGCTTTGCAGTTCAGTATTTGCCACAGCGTTTGGTAAGGAGCTAGACTTTCAAGAAAATGTTGGATTTAGGCGAGCAGACCAGAGAGGAATACCTGTAGGATACTGACACAGTTTTTAAGACACATTTGACCATAGTGTTTGTGCAGAGGAGTAGTAAGTGGGGAAAAAAGTTAAAAGGTAAGCAGAATCCAAGCAGTTTTATGTTAACCAAACATTTGTGATGTTTTGAGGGTGGTGAGGTCTACCAGAGAGTTAGGGTTTTAGATCATGAAAAAGCAGGTTCAATTCTATATTGGTTTTTAGGAAGTTAAGCTAATGTGATGTATGCTGAAATGGGAGATTTACTTCTAGTCATCTGGATTACAAAGAGAAGCATACATTGCTCATCTATTCTTTGGTGTTCTGTTTTAATACCAAGCATAATCTTAAAGAATATTAAACTGTTACTGTCTCAGAATCAGGAGTACTAACCAGACCAAATATTGAGATACACATGCTTATTTTGTACTTGAGGGGATCTTGCCAGCATCTTCCAGTTATGCTTAAAACCAAAGCAGAGGACTAAAATTAAAACATTAAGTGTGATTACTGGCATACTTATTTCATACTATCCTCAAAGACAGGATTTTTGTCTAAGCAAATTGCTGATATGGGATATCATGTATCTCAAATGTTTGTGAAGTAGCAGTCACATTTTTTGCCATTTATTTAAAGATGGTAAATAACAAGAATAGTCTTGCAAATACTACTGTGAGTCTTACTTGGCTTAGTTGTCCTGTCCCAGTGATTGCTAGTTGCTTCCCTGAGATTAATGAAATGAATGGGTTGGTTTTTCTTTCAGTGGTGAATGGAGAGTGTTTTCAGGCAATGAGTTGGGGGCCCTCTTGGGGTGGTGGCTCTTTACCTCTTGGAAAGAAAAGAACCAAGATCTCAGCGCCCTCAAAGACATATACATGTTGTCTAGCACCGTCTCCTCCAAAATCTTGCGGGCCATCGCCTTAAAGGAGGGTTTTCATTTTGAGGTAAGGTGTTTGCAGGAATTACTCTTCCCTTTCTTTTGCTTTGTAGAATATCTAAGGCATTTCTTTCTCTTTTGAATTATCTCTTTAGGAAACATTAACTGGCTTTAAGTGGATGGGAAACAAAGCCAAACAACTAATAGACCAGGGCAAAAATGTTCTGTTTGCGTTTGAAGAAGCTATTGGTAAGAAGTGATAATGTGAATGATAGAACTGATTAATGTATGTTGTTGTTATGTTGTTAGGTGCTGTCGAGTCAGTTCTGACTCATAGCGACCCTGTGTACACCAGAGCCAAACTGCCCAGTTCTTTCTATCCCCACAATCGTTGTTATGCTTCAGCCCATTGTTGCAGCTGCTGTGTCAATCCATGTCATTGAGGGTCTTCCTCTTTTTCACTGACCCTCTACTTTACTAAGCATGATGTCCTTCTCCAGGGTCTGGTCCCTCCTGATAACAGTCCAAAGTATGTGAGACGAAGTCTTGCCATCCTTTCTTCTAAGGAGTATTCTGGGAAAAGGATCTGGGTTTGGATTTGAGTTCAAAAGATCAACAATGAAACAGGAGCACACAGTTTGCTTCTGCTTCTGTGATGTTCGGGTAACTGTTCCTTGAGGTTAAGCTGCCCTAGCCCAAAATTAGCATCTCAGATTTATTTTCAGCCGAAAGGAATATCTTGCAAATAACAAAGCCATTAATGTAAGAAAGAAAACGCTTTCCCAGATGACTGAGAACAGTGGTTTTCTGTGCAAGGCTGCTGGTAGCTTGAGAATCCACATATTTTTTAGAGTTATGATTTCCTCAACTGTTGAGTTTGACATCCAGGCCTAATATGGTCTACTTCCCCCGAAGGCGCTACATGAAGATCTATCCTGAGGTCTGTCAGAAAGATAAGATATGGCACCATTGTGATGCTGTTAGCAAAGTGATGGTCACCCAAAAGGACAGCTCCAAGTCCATCCTGAATGACTGAAAAACCCTTGTCCTAAATTATTTGTCAATATACATGAGCAGAAAGGAGAGCTGGCTATAGAAATTTGAAATTCAGATGTTTGCACCAGGAATATTTTAGCTATTTAGTAAAGACTATTATACTTTATATTATTGTAAAATGCATACTCTTCTGGTTTATCTGTATCTTCTCTGCAGTACAGATACACATTAGTTGCTTAATTAATTGGATAAAGTGTAATAGCTCAACTTTTGCTCTTTTGTTGTCAGATTTGGCAGACTTGTCGTTCTACAGGTTTTTTTTTTTTAAGTTTAAACATGATCTGACTTTATTTTTTTAAATAGACTTCTATTTTTTAAAGCAGCTTTAGGCTTCCAAAAAAATTGTGCAGAAAGTACAGAGAGTTCCCATATGCCCACTCCCTCTGCACATCACTTCTCCTATCAACATCTTGCATTTCTGAGGGTTTTTATTTCTTTAAGAAAAGAATTTCTTTCATTTGTTTATCAAATATTTATTGTATATTTATTGTGCAGTGACTCTGAATGAGACAGCTGCTGTTGACCTTGGTCTACAGAAGCTTATAGAGATCTAGTTAGTAATCTGGTATATAGGCCAGGGTCAAGTGCTGGGTGGCTAACCCAAAGGTTAGTGGTTCAAACCCACCGGCTGCTCTGTGAAAGATGTGGCAGTCTGCTTCCGTAAAGATTTACAGCCTTAGAAACCCTATGGGACACTTCTGCTCTTTCCTATAGGATCACTAATGAGTAAATTGACTCGACGGCAAGGATTTATTGGGACTCAGAGAAGAAAGAGATAAGCATTGACTAGAACAGTTAGAAGTTATTTCATGTGAGCTGGAGGGACTTGAGCTGGACCAAATGAATGGGCATGATTTGGCCAGGCAGGATACTCTCCTATAGGTTATTCAGCAAATATTTCTTGAAGGTTTGCTGTGTTAGGCACTGGGCTAGATTCTTTAACGTATAGTGGTAAATGAGAATCATCCTTGTACTCACTACTCTAATTGTGATAGGATGTGTACCCACATGTGACTTTACACAGTGATATGAAGGAACCTCAGGCTCTATGTATGACGTGTGTTTTCTGCAGGGTATATGTGCTGCCCCTTTGTTCTGGACAAAGATGGAGTCAGTGCCGCCGTCATTAGCGCAGAGTTAGCTAGCTTTCTAGCAACCAAGAATTTGTCTTTGTCTCAGCAGCTGAAGGCCATCTATGTTGAGTAAGTTTCTATTGGCTCTGTTTAATTAAAGTAATATCTTTAAATGCTTTATTCTTGTATATAATATACTAACATTTATTGGTTATGGATTTGATTTCTTATAAAAACTGAGTAAGAGATCAGCTTATCCTTTTGATGCCTAACCACTTAATATTAATTACCATTCATAATCACATGAATTCTTAACAAATGAGGACATTAGTTGTGGAAATGGCTAATTGAAAAATATGCTTTTAAACGTCCAGTGTCAAAAAAGATTAAATGTATTGCTTTAAAATAAGATTCAAAACCAGATTCCAAGGTGAATAAAGCGTGATATGAACTTATGGTATAGAAAACATTTAAATGAATCTTTTGATGGCGTGTTAACAGTTGTTTAATTATTTGTAGATGCAATATTCTTGTGATATATAATGATGACTGAATATTTGTGAGTGTAAAGCAATGCTCCATTTTCCCAGTGAGGAGACTCCAGAAAATTTTTTTGGCCAACTTGAATATATAGGGGTGTGGATCATTTTTAGGAATGAAGTACTCAAGTCTCTTCTTCCAATATTTAATTTCTTATTTTACACATGGAATCACACAATAATATATTAATTTAGAAATATGGCAGTTTGTCCACATGACACTTTTGTGCATCATTGACATTAGAGTTGTTGTCACCTACTTAGTTTTCACTGTTGTTTTAGATGTTTGAGATAAAGCACTTTCTTGCATCTGTGTATGATGCTGTCATCCCAGAGTTTTTTATCCCAAGCCATGAGTACCCATTTGTTTACATAAGACTAGCACAGTTCTTATTTTTATCCTTTATTGGTAATTTGCATAAAATATCCACTTACTAAATAGTACTTTAAGTGATTTTCTTAAAGTAATATTTTATTGAGTTTTTGGTAAAAGTTTACAAGTATGTTAGGTCTCCATTTGAAAATTTCCCCAAAAATTGTTCAGTGACATTGATTACATTTATCACAGTGTATCAATATTCTCTTTAATTGTATTCAGTTTATTCCCCTTCCAGTACTCTAGTTTCCCTACCCCCTCATCTTCTCATCTTTGCTTTGGAGTAACTGTTGACCTTTTGGTCTCATACTGATGGTTTCTAAGTAAGGCACTGATTTTATGAGTAATATCCTTTATTTTGTGTGCCACTCTACTATTTCACTAAAAGATGATCTCAGGAGATAGGCTTTGTTCTAGGTTTAAAGAATGTCTCAAGGTCATAGTCTCAGGCTGATAGTCTCAGGGAGTCCTCTCTTCTCTACTGTTCCAGTTTATCTGGCTTATATATATATTTATATTTATATATATATTTACATATAAATGAATTTGAGTTTTCTGCTCCATATTTTTCTTCCATTCTATCCAGGACCAACTACTGTGATCCTGGTCAGAACAGTCAGTGGTGGTAGCTGGGCACCATCTAGTTCTGCTGGTCTCAGTGTAGATGAGGTTGTGGCTCTTACATACTTATTTCTTCTCTGTGCTCCTGGCAAGTAGAGACCCATAGTTGTATCTTAGATGGCCACTTGCAAGCTTTTAAGACCCCAGATGCTACTCACATCACTAGGATGCAGATCATGATTTTTGTGAACTATATTATACCAATTTGACTGAGTTGTCCCATGAGACTATGGTCCTAAGCCTTCAAACCCAGATTAAGTGATTTTTGAAAGACCTATTTTAAAACCTGACAATTCAACACTGTCAATTATGAAGTCCTGCCTCTAGGAAAAATTATTAAGTCTGCTTACAATTTTTTTTTCTTATGTATTAGCTCCATCAGGCAATTTCTAAAAAAGCACCGAAGACTAACATGAATTGGGGTTGTTATAGGCTAATATTACTACCCAAGCAAAGTTTTGAACAATAAAGTCTTCTGAACATGGGTGACCCATGATTTGAGAGATTTTGTAGGGAATTCAGTAAATGCGACTCTTCTTGAATCAGATTTTTCTACCAGTGTATTCTAAGTGGAAACTTTAGTGAGTTACTAGTTAGTGAATCAAGGGTGGAGCACATCCTTTAGACGACCATTTCAGCACTTCCGTTGCCATGAGCACAGATGCCTCTTCCTCAAGGTTTATATGCTCAGAAGTCAGAACATTATGTTTAATAATGCGCCAGGATTTTAAGGCATTGGGGTAGATCGGGGGTCAGCAATTTTTTCTGTAGATAACCGGATAGTAAATACTTAGGCTTTGAGGACCATTCAGTGTTTGTAGCAGTTATTCAACTGTGTCTTTGTAGTACAAAAGCCACCAGAGACAATACATAAAGGAATGGTCATTGCATGGTTGTATTCCAGTAAAACTCTGATGCACAAAAATAGGCTGAAAACTAGGCAGTAGTTTCTTACCCTCGGGGTAATTTGTTAAACCTCTTTTTTTAATGTTAAGTTATTTCTTTGAATAAATGCTAAATTATTCCTGTGAAGCTAGTTATGGTTGTCTGTTTCATTTCTTTTGGAACATACTGGTTGATCCATGCCCTGCTATGCAGGATTATTTGTTCTTTATTTTGTATGTGTTTGTATTTGTTTTGACAGGTATGGCTACCATATTACCAAAGCTTCATATTTTATCTGCTATGATCAAGGCACCATTAAAAAGTTATTTGAAAACCTTAGAAATTACGACGGGAAGAATAAGTATCCAAAAACTTGTGGAAAGTTTGAAATTTCCAGCATTAGGGACCTCACAACTGGCTATGATGACAGTCAACCTGACAAAAAAGCTGTGAGTAACGTTTACTTTTACCAACTAAACACTTCTCTGCTTACCTTTTTAAAAATACTTTGAGTAGACCAAGTTATTTAATCATATAATTAATTGAAGCTGCTTTTAGGCATTAGACATTGTTATATTTGTTGTTGTTTTTTTTTTTTAATTGTACTTCAGGTGAAGGCTTACAGAACAAATAGTTTCTCATGAAACAGTAGTGCACATATTGTTTTATGACATTGGTTAACAACCCCACAAC